TCCTGGTAAAAAAAACATGCTATATAGGTCAATTTCAGAATTTATAAAATAGATCAATGGAATACTTTTTGCAAAACCTCAATAAACAAAAACTGCCATGAAATAAACATTTAAACTTGTCGATCGATAAAGCATGTTACGATATGTTTTTTTGTATAATTAGTTGCAATTTTCCAATTATATTAGAGAAAAGTAAAACACATGCTTTGTAATCTGCTGACCGGTATTTACATTATAATCATAACATTGTAAATACTTTTGTAAAATTTGGGGTCATACAGATTATTTATTAGGTCAATAAATAAGAAATAAAATATTGATAAATATAAATGAAGAAATAGGATAATTACATCGGTTTCGGGAAGTCTTAGTATGAAATAAATTTTAAACTTCTTGGTTTGTATAATCAAAGTTCAAGAGCTTCTAACCTGTCTGAGCTCAAGGTCTACTTTTTGGTCTCATTTAATCGAATGGACTACACCCCAGCAAAGAAATAATAAAATGATCTCTTAAGTTACTGTATAATTTAGCTGTCTCTTTGAGTTTTACCAAGAAGCGTAGCGGAGAATTTATTTTTTATTTAGCGTATGGATTATGAACACTTAAATAAGTTACTTTCCATTTTCTGGTAAAATTTTCTCATGTCTATTGGCTTACATAGGTCTTGTCGTTCTTGAAGTTCTTTGTTAATATTTTCTGTCTTATTTCTGCGGTGGATTTTCTTTCTTCCTTACGTAGTTATTTATATTCCTCCTCTGTTTGTCGGGTTCTGTGCCCCTGTTGTATCAGTAAATATGCTCTGTTTTTACTTCTGTTATAATCTAATAAAAACAGTCATTCGGTCTTGATCTTCTTTGTTTATTTTCCATGGCTAGTAATTCTTGAGCTGCTTCTTTTATGATGTTTCTGCAACCTTCCTACTCTTCAGTTTTTATGTTTTCATGTTTTAGTCTGTTTTCTAGTTTGGTGTTTATATTTATGTTTGTATTTTTAAGTCTTTCTGCATTGTTGTATCGCTTATATTTAGAACCTATTTGCTTTTTTACGTATTGAAATTCTGGTCCATATCCTATTTTCGAACCAGAATCCGTATTGGATTTTCTTCTTTTCTGGTGCGGACGTTTATTATATTCGATAGATGTCTTGAGTCTACAGTAACATAATCTATTATATTTACTGTAAATGAGTCTGGTGATTTCCGGCTGACTTTGTGTATATCTTTTCTAAAAAAAACTACTATGAAAAAAAAGCGTTTTTGAAATCAGAGCATCAAAAATAATAAAATTCCGTATTTCTCGAGCACCATTTTTTTTTTTATTTTGTTGGGATGCTTTATTATTCCTGTTCCATACTATGCAAGTTAAACGTTTAATTTTTATTCCAGTTCTTCCTATGACGGATTTGACGCTTATAAAATGAAAGTATTTACTTTGTTGATTCATCTGTTGTATTTTTATTTTGCTTTATAAACACATTTCGACATATTGTCGACAACAATACTGATTAATTCCGTTATTAGATAGACTTCACGGTTATTTAACACATAGAGAATTAAATTTTTCTCAGAAATAAATTTCGAATCTTGATAATTGCATTTCGTTCTGTTTAGTGTCATTAACACATGTAGAATCATTTTCGGGGAGTATTGTATACATAACAATATGATTCATCAAATTTCCAATTTCGGTATGCCATTTCTATTCTTGTTTTATTGCCTGATTTTACATCCAGCTGATTGTCTAGTCAACATCCTGTGTACTCATCTATTTCTTATAGCGGCTCCCTACGGTCGGCGATATTGCGGACGTAAGCGGACCAGCCCGCACCACGCACCGTGGGAAAGGTCTCGTCCGTGGTAGCAGAGGCACGTCCGTGCTGGTGCGTCCTTTCCAGCTAGAGTCGGTAACATCAAAGGTGCGGTACATGCTCGTGCAACGCGATCCTAGCGCGTCTGTGTTTTAACAGACAAGTAAAAGTCAGAAGTTTTTCATTCGCTGATACGAGTAGATGTCTGTAGTGTTGTCAAAGTTGTTTTGCAGTTTTTTGCTAAAAAATGGAATGAAAAAACGAAGTTATTTTTGATTTTTTAAATTTGTATCAAAATGAATGAAATTCCACTGCGCCGGAGCATAAGAACCGCATGCATGGAACCGAATAAACAATCAATTGAAGAATAGTACTACTTCGATTAAAGAATTAAAAAGGAAGAAAAATAATTTAATGCCTACATACAAAAGGCAAACAAAAGATAGAGAATCGATGGGAACTGGTAGTGGAGCTGATGATGTTTACAAGCCTGAGTGGCCTTTTTATGATATAATCAAACAATACTGTCACGGACCTACACAGACAGTCACGGACCGCAGGAAGAGCTCTGTCTGCGGTGCGTTGCCGTCTGTGCTGATCGGCTGTCCGCGATGATCTGTAGAATCGCCGATCGTGGAAAGCCACTTTTACTGATTATCTTGATCTCCTTAATTCTAGCGGTTATAGTTTTTTCTTTCAGTTTGTATTTTATGTATATTATAATAATAATAACATATTTTATTAACCTTTTGAAGATAATTTTTACTTATACTAATTATTTTTATTTTATAATTTAAGAGTAAATGTTTGTAAGTATGCAAATATTCTTTTGAATTCCTAAGTCACGATAATTAAAACTGTCTACTTGTAAAGATTATGAAAATGTGCTGCATACACTTCAGTTACATTTTTTTCGTGGAAAAACGTTGTATTTACATTCCTTTCAGTGATAAACTAATTAAAGCGTTAAACAAATACTATTATCGGCGATTTAGTTTTAAATTTCCAAGTGAACATTAATTTATTACATTCATTGCTTCAAATTTACTAAATGACGTATAAAGCAAGATGTATTTCAAATATGACCTGAATGTTGTTAATAATTTTTCATTATATAATAATCATAATAAACGAACAGGACATTATGTTTTAATATGCATTTTTTTATATTTGAAAAGATATGTTATAATGTGTAGGTGAGGGCGGGGTAATGGTGTCACCTTAAGAGATTATCATTTTTGTGTCTTAATTTTGAGATGAAAGAAATATGTATTTTCAGAACTTTTTATTCGCCTTGATTAAGCGTCAATAAATAAAACACTTTTTTGTGTAATGTGACGGTATTGTGCAGACCTAGGGGGTAATGGCGCCACCTACTGAATTGAAATGATGGATAAGACTTCTCTGTAAAACATATTCTAAGCAAATATCTTTATTAAAATTTTAGTTGGAAACAAAAAATAACAGTTTAATGAATGATAAATAAAAACATAACCTAAAAACAACCTACTATTCTATTCACAGAAGTCACAAACACTTTCAAACAGTGCCAAATTTTTGTCACTGTCTTTTCTACTGCATTGAAAATTTCGAGCAAAGTGTACAGCGATACCAAAGATCAGTGTCTCCAAATTCTCCACAAATTAAACGTTTCTCCTCTTCGGCAAACACAGTGGATAGGGAGATATCATAATTTAAATCATCGTCACAAAGTTTGTCATCATCAAAATCTTCTGACGATGTTTCATCAAAATCAAATTTTGTTCTGATAGTTTTCTTCATTTTCTTTGTTTTTTTTTATTCTTAAAAAGCTCGTCTTTCTTAAACGTCCTTTTGTTTAAAATTTTTTGATTTTTTTCCTTGGATAAATAAACATATATTCCTATAAATATTCCGTAACAAAGGTATATATTCCTGAAGTGCTCATAGCACACAATACAGTGATATTCTTGCCACGCTCCCAACTCCTCCCACTTGCTTCTGTCCTCTTGGTACAAGAATTTTTCCCAGTTTTTGTACTGTGGAAATTCCACTTTCGTCCATATTATGGATACGGTTCGGTGAAAAGTTATACTTAGTCGTTACAGTGTCTAAATTTTTGTAAAACAAATCAACTTTGTCTTTATTAAATGCTTTGACCCTGTTCAAGCTAGTGGCTTCCGGTTTTCTTAAACTTATTTTATGCCTGATGATAAATCCATTTAACCAATCTATACTGGCCAACTTGGTCTCTTTGCTAATGTTGTGTTTGATTTGTAGTTTTTCAGCCAACTCGAGAGCCAGTCGCCTTAGTTCATTTGTAGTCATGTTATAAATAGTTTTGATAGGCTAACCACATGCTCTGCTAAATTTTGTTCTTGCTCTATAGAAAAAACGCATTTCCGACCCAATCTCGGCTTACTATTATCGTTCGCCTTTAGCCTATTCCTTAATGTTATTCGGGGTATGCCAAACATTGTAGGTGCTTTTTTTGTAAAATGCAAGTGTGGATAATTTTTTGTAAAATAACGAATAATTTAATTTTTTGCAAGTGTGGTAAGCTGTCAACATTATTAAGTATGTCAAATATTCACCTATTTTTGATATATTTTAATTTAATACAAGGTAGACATAAACAAACAAAATATTTCCACCAGTGGAAATCTCCAATCTCTCCCGAGATTGTCCACTAATAACATAATTATTCTTTCTACTATTTTTCAACGCCATCGTTAGAAATTGTCACAAACACACTTAACTATCCGAAATAATAAGAAGTCTGAAAAATAATAGCCGCAAATCACTTAAGTGTTACGCACCTGATAACTGGGAGGAGACTAAAGACCCCACCTAAGTGGGACGAGTGCGAGGACGAAGCGATGACAATAGTGGCGTAACTACAAGTCAGTTCCTATGAAACTGTTATGAAATAAAATAGGGCGTACCTCCTTAAAACAAGTTTGTGCGTGTAACAGTATTTTGATTTGATTTGAGTTGTTGCTTTTGTGTGTGATTTAGTAGAATGGAAAAGAAGCGAAAAATTGATAGTAAATGCAGAAAATTCAAAGATCAGTGGAACATTCAGTATTTCGTAATTGAGTCCAGTAAAAAGGCGCTATGTTTGATTTGCAATGAAAGCATAGCCGTTCTTAAAGAATATAACATGAAACGTCATTATGAAACAAAACATTCTCAAAATTACTCAAAATATACAGGAATTGTGTGGACAGAAAAATTCGAAGCTTTGAAGTGCGGATTGAAATCGCAGCAATCTTTATTTACAAAAGTCAAAACTGAACAAGATGCGGCAACTCGTGCCAGCTTTCGTGTGGCTCTTGAAATTGCAAAACGTGGAAAACCATTCACCGATGAAGAAATGATCAAGGAATGCATAATTGCAGTAGTCGAAGAAATGTGCCCTGAAAAGGTAAATTTATTAAAAACTGTCAGTATGTCAGCAAACACTGTGGCTCGAAGGGTAGAAAACATCGCTGAAAATATATCCTCTCAACTGTTCGACAAAAAAGGACATGTTGAGTGGTTTTCTTTGGCCTTGGATGAGTCAACGGATGTGTCAGATACTGCTCAGGTGTTGATTTATATTAGAGGAGTAGATAAAAGCTACGAAGTGCACGAAGAACTTCTTGATATGTATAGTATTCATGGCACAACTACTGGTACCGATATTTTTAGAGGAGTTGAAATGGCCATTAATAAAAAGAACCTTAGATGGAAAAACTTGAAATGTATTACAACTGATGGAGGCAAAAACATGAGTGAGAAAGATAAAGGAGTGGTCGCTCTTGTGTCAAAGGCTGTAGAAAATGACGGCGGCTCAAAACCATTAGTCTTACATTGTATCATTCATCAACAGTCTTTGTGCGGAAAATGTTTGGATATGTCTGACGTTCTGAAACCAGTCATATTAACTGTTAATTTCATCAGATCTTTTGGGTTGAATCACCGACAATTCCGACAATTTATTGCAGAGATTGGAGAAACAGACTTACCTTATCATACTGCCGTACGCTGGCTTAGTTGTGGGAAAGTCCTTCAGCGCTTTTTTGAACTTCCAGCAGTGATCGAAATTGTTTTGAATGAAAAGCACCGCCGTCTTACTGAATTACAAAACAACGCATGGCTATGGAAGTTAGCATTCTATGTTGATTTGACAAAACATGTGAACGAACTGAATTTGAGATTGCAAGGAGAAAACCAGCCTCTTCCTGATTTATACACTAATATCAAGTCATTCCGGATGAAATTAATACTGTTTTAATCACAACTACGAAGTAAATGTATTTCACATTTTAAAACATGTGAAATATTCAGCCACACTACTGAGACTGAGTTTCCTATCGATTTTGCAATCGAAACTTTGAGTGCTTTGAAGATAAATTTTGATACTCGTTTCTCGGACTTTGATGCCATTTCGAATCAAATTAAAATTTTTCAGAATCCTTTTGATGCTGACATTGAAACCCTAGCCCCGGAACTTCAAATGGAAATGATTGATCTTCAGTGTAGTGATATAATTAAGAACAAATATGAAAACTCATCTTTGTTGGAATTTTATAAGAGTCTTCCACTGACACAATTTGATAATTTGCATAAATTTGCTCGTGGGCTGTTTTCCGTTTTTGGTACTACTTATTTGTGTGAGAAAACCTTCTCCAAAATGAAGTACACAAAAAATGTATACAGATCTAAATTAACTGACGAGCATCTTAAATCTCTTTTAATAATTGGTACAAGTAAAATTAGTCCACAACTACAAACTATTGTCGGTGGAAAATCTCAATTACATACATCTCATTAGCATTTCATATGTCATGTTTGTTATAAGGTATGTGTTGTTCATTACTTACAATGTATAAAATGTTAGTTGGATTCATTTCAATAATTTGTTAGTTATTATATGCTGAAGTTAAATTTACTGCATAAATTATACATGTCTTTACTCATTACCATTCTGTGTTTCTTTATCCAACTTATCACAAACATTTTTTTTGCTATAAAAAATATTTGTTCTCTAAAAGGAGTTTTCAAGTATGTCTCCGCGGGCCGGACAAAATCTGTCTGCGGGCCGGATGTGGCCCTCGGGCCGTAGTTTGGAGACCCCTGCTTTAGAAGGTCGAGGCTTTTCAAAGGTCTTAAAGAACATTTTTAATATAAAATAGTTTAGAAACATGAATAATAAGCAATCAGCGATAGGAGTTAATTCCTAACGAGTCGATCGAAAATTAAGAAGTTGATTAGTAGCTGTATGTGTAATACTTAACACACTGAAACATTTAGGTCGTTTTTTCCTTTTTCTTTGGGCATTGTAGATTGGGATATGATGACAAACCTTATTGTGATTGTCTTTTAATATGTGGCTTATGTACTTTTCTTTAAATTTATTATTGATATTTTTGGTGTCAGTTTTCTTTTTCCCTTCTTGCATAAAATATTTGTTTCTTATTTAGAAATACTTAATATTAAAAAAAATATAATATTTATTCAGTTGCATATCTAGTCCAAGTTTTAACAATGTTTTTTTATGTTTTAGGATCAATGACTAATGCAGTGTCTGGTGCTCACTTAGTCTGGACCTCACCAGTAGTTCCCAAACTAAAATCGGATATTTCGGATGATAATCCCATAGGAAGGCCAGCAACGACGCTGGAAATCTCCATGATAGCAGGCTTTGCTCCACTAGCAATGATCGCTGGCTCACTGATACTTGGTACGTTATCAGAACTGCTTGGAAGAAAACGATCGTTGCAACTGTTGGCCATTGGCATTTTTCTAGCCAATGTGGTTTTGGCTTTCAGTAATAATATAGTACTAATCATAGTATCCAGATCCATATTGTTCTTTTTTTTTAACGGCACTATGACTATTTACCCAGTGTATTTAACAGAGATCTGCGAGGATCATAACAGAGCAAAATATGGTTGCTTAATGGGTGTGTTTTTGCCCTTTGGGAGCCTCCTAAGTTACGTTTTAGGATCTTTTTTTAGTGTAAAGGTCTACACTTTATTAATTTCTGCCCCTCTAATACTATTTTTGGCGTTTTTCTTTTTTGCTCCAGAATCTCCAGTTTATTCGTTATCGAAAGGAAGAAGAAATGAATGTTTACAAACTTTAATGAAACTAAGAAGTAACAAGACTGAAAAAGAAATTATGTTAGATATGTACAAAATAGAAGAAACAATAAAGGCAAGGGTTTCAGGTACTTCGACAAATAGTATGGTATCTGTATTTTCTACAAAAGAGAGAAGATATGCTTTAATGCTTGCTCTGGTCCCAGTCGCCATGCAGCCTCTATCTGGAGTACTAGTGACCTTACAGTTTTTGGCGCCTCTGTTTATTGAAGCGGGTACAAAATATGATAGCAATCATATGTCGATCATAGTAGGATCGATAGAGCTGTCCAGTTTTCTTCTAACAACCTGTATTATTGAAAGAACTGGACGAAAGCCAATGTTATTAATTTCTGCGATTGGTATTGGCATGACTCACTTTATTCTAGGTTTATATTTTTACTTAAAGTATATAGAATGCTCTTTTATATCAACCATACACTTACTTCCTCTGGCTTGTGTTATAAACCTCATTCTGATGTACTCATTGGGTCTTGGTCCAATACCAATGGCAATAATGGGAGAATTATTCACTCCTGACATCAGAACCAAAGCGTTATCGTTAATTATGACAGTTTTGGGCATTGGATCATTCGCTACCACCTCCAGTTATCCTTTTATGGTAGAATATTTGGGTATGCATTGGTGCGTTTGGATCAACAGTTTATGTTGTATAGCGGGAGCTACCTTCATATACGTCATGATACCAGAAACAAAGGGTAAAAGTATTGTTGAAATTCAGGAATATATTAAAACCAAGTGCAATAAATGATTTTATATTTTTTTGTTTTATTTTATAAACCCTAATGTGTACCTCTCCATTTTTACTTAATATCAATCCCACAAAATCTGCTTTAATTGTCTTTTCAAGAAAAATTTTCTTGTCATCCTGATTTAACTACTATTGTACGTGAAGAGAATAATGACGTGGAGCATCGTCCTGTCCTCTCACTTCCGTTTCAAATTGGCATTCAGCTGGGTTGGCTGATAAAGCAGTAGGTGGCAGTAGTCCGAAAAGACCAAATACGTAAGATTGATTAGGTTTTACCTTAAGTGCAAGATCTTTTGTATAACAATAATCTTAAAATACCTGAAAAGCTGAAGAATAGAAAAGCAGTAGATAAAGGGGGATACCAAACGAATTATTAAAGTATTGTGGAGCAGCGATGACAGGACAATTAACAATATTAGTTAATAAAAATATAAAACACAATAAAATATCGGAAGAATAAAGAACCAGCAAAATAATTCTACTATTCAAAAAAGGAGATAAAAATAGCCAGAAAACTAAAGAGGTATAAACTTGTTAAATACTACCCTAAAACTTACTGCTAACGTTTTACAAGAGCTAATAAATCAGAGGATAAGTTTAGCAAATGAACAAAAGAGTTTTAATAGTGAAAGATCATGTACAGATAAAATATTCGTTATAAAGCAAATTACTGAGAAATTACTAGAGTATAATAGACTAGCATTTCTGTGTCTGGTTAACGATTGACTGATGAAAGGAAAGCGTTTGATACAGTAAGACTCAAAGACGTAATGGATCTTCTGTATAATAGAGAAGTTTTCCTAAATATTAGTAAAGCCACTGAAAATATCTACCAACACAACAATATGGAAGTCAGAATAGATGAATAACTTACAGAACATATAGAAATAGGCAGCGGAATATAACAAGGTGACTCATTGAGCCCTATTCTCTTTAATTTAATCATGGATGAAATCATCAAAAGCTTAACAAATAATCAGGATACAGAATGGAAAACAAAGAAATAAGAATAATCTCTTACGCAGACGATGCAATATTGATAGCCCAAGATGAAGATAGTCTACGAAGACTGGTCCACAGATTTAACAAAACAGCAAAAGAATCTAATATGACAATCTCATCTTAGAAAACTAAAACAACAGTAATCAGCAAATAACTAACCAGATGTAAAATAGAAATTAATAGCATCAGTATTGGATAAATAATGGAAATAAAATACCTTGGAATTACACTGTGCAGCTATGAGACCTGGACAAAGAGGTGAAAGATCAGGTACAAAAAGCAAATAGACTGACAGGATGCCTTAATAACACTATATGGCTATTTATAATGGCAAGAATTTATAAAGCTAGTGTAAGATCAATAATGACATATGCCTCGGAAGCTATTATAGACTATTATATACTACTATTGCGCACATAAGGGAGAAAATGTCAATAAAAGGTCACAAATGAAGAAGAGAAAAGTGGTCTTTATTCAAGTTACTTCACTGTATTAAAGGTTGATAAAGTCGATCCAATAATTACGAGAATTTTTAAATTAAAGACAAATTATATGCGAGCATAAAACAAGTAGCATTCGAAGTCCTTGGAGAAAAAGAACATATAACAAAGAAACAGCTCTATTATGAAATACTTAAATGAACCAATAAAAGAATATGTGAAGAAAAAAAGCAACTATATGGAAAATGGCTGACTACAAACAATGATGAAGTTTATAAAGAATATAGAGAAAAAGATAGAGAAGTGAAAAAACGAATAACACAACAAAAGAATAAAGAATGGGAAAGAACCTGCTTAAATATTGAAACATACATAGGAGGTACAAGAACCTCGGAGTCATGGAAAGTACTGAGAAGATTGAAACAAAACTAAAAAGAAAAAAGTAAATTGGGAAATATACAGGACTAAGAACGGAAAGTCTATTCCAAGGAGGTGTTAACAGAACAAAGACCACTATTCATTGGAACAGAAAACGGGTGAAGCAGATCCCCATAACAAGAAATAGAAATAACAGATAGGGTAATGAGAACGGCCATAAAAGTAATCAAAAATAAGAAGGCACCGGGACCTGGAGGCATCTCACCTGAACTTATAAAATACGGATAAAAAAAATTACACCGGATGATACAATGGATATTTCAGAAAGCCATAAATGAAAAACAGCTCCCAAAGGATGGACGGAGGCAAATATGACATCTATATTTAAAAAAGGAGATAGAAAACGATGCGAAAACTACGGAGGAATAAGCATAATATCATCAATATGACGATTATATGGGAAAATACAGCGAGAAAAGATACAGCAAGCGATAAATGGCAAAATCGGGGAGGATCAGGCAGGCTTAACGGCAGGAAGATCAAGCATATACCACATATACACACTGGAACAACTGATGGAAAAGAAAAAAGAAAAAAATAGAGATATTGTGGATCTGAGAAAGGCGTATGACTCTGTACCAAGGTCAGAACTATGGGAGGCAATGTACAAATTAGAAATACACATGGAACTCATATACTGTATGAACTGTATAAGGAAAATAAAGTGTCCAATAAAGTGGGAACAAGAATCATAGGAGACTTCATCACAACAAAAGGGCTCCTGGAGGGTGGTTCCACATCTCCAACCCTATTCAAAATATACGTAGAGAAAACCTTGACTACATGGAAAAAAAAAATGCGAAGGCATAGGAGTACCGGTACGGAACGAATACCTATATAAGTTAAGCTTTGCAGACGATCAAGTAGTGATTGCGTAAGACCAAGACAACCTCAGCTACATGATGAAGAAATTACAAAAAGAATATACCAAGGCTGGCCTAGATGTTAACCTCGCGAAAACAGAGTACCTATCTACAAGTAGAGAAGACAAAAAAGATCTACATATTGATGACAACGTAACAATCAAAGGAAAGGATAAATTCAAATACTTGGGGTTTATAATTACGAAAAAGGCAACAACAGAGGAAGAAATTACACAAAGATAAGGACAAACAAGAACAGTAATCTGACAACTTAACCCAGTAAGGTGGGATAGACACCTAAATATGAACACAAAAACACAGATTTATAAAACATTAGTGCGAAGTATTATGACATATGGGGCTCAAAATTGGATTATAAATAAGAAAAACAGCAGTGAGTAGTAGCAAAAGAGATGAAATGCCTGCGAAGATGCTGCAGAATAACCAGAATGGATAGGAGAAGTAATGACAAAATAAAGCGAAGATATAGAACAAAAACGACAAAAGTGGTATGGACATATAAGAAGAACTAGCGACAGCAGATGGATAAAGAGAATAATCAAGTGGAGCCCTATAGAAAGAAGGCAAAGAGGACGACCGCGAAGATCCAAGAGAAACGAAGTAGACGACGTCATAAGTAAGAGAGGCCTAAACGATGGAGAATGGGACAACAGAAACAGAGAGAGAGAGAGAGAGAGAGAGAAAGAGAGAGAGAGAGAGAGAGGCATTAAAATAAACTCAAACAAAACCCAATTTTTAGTGTTTAGTCGTGACCCACATCCCAATGCAAAGCATCAATTGAACGGAGTCCAAATTGAGAAAGTTCACAAAATGACATATTTAGGAACTGTGATAACGGACCAACTAGATCCAGACATAGAAATGAAACGTAGAATAGCAATCACTAAAACTACTTTTACGAAAATGAAGTCATTTCTTTGCAATAATCATCTCAGTCTAGAACTAAGACAAACAATGGTTAAGTGCTATGTTTGGTCTATACTTTTGTATAGTGCAGAAGTGTGGACGCTAAAAGTATCGATCATGAACAAAATTAAAGCTTTGGAAATGTGGGTTCATAGACAAATACTGAAGATACCTTAGACAGCAAGAAAAACTAATGAATAAGTACTAAGAAGCGTCAACAAAGACAGAGAACTGTTAGAATCGAAAAATATCTTATCTGGGACACATAGTAAGGAAAAGTCGATATAAAATTTTACAACTGATCCTTAAAGGCAAAGTAGAGGGCCGTAGAGGTGTAGGAAGAAAACAAGTTTCTTGGTTAAAAAAGATTCGTGAATGGACTCAAATACCAAATGCAGGACAATTATTCCATATTGCAGAAGATCGAGAAGATCGGGTGTATTAACTCGAGTTAAAACAAAAGTCACTCCACCGCGATCTGATGCTCCAGTTTATCCCTTTCCCCTATAGCACTTTGATGCGCGATAGGATCACAACTGTCAGCTAAATAGTTTGTGGATGTCCTGGGTACAAGAAATCCAACACGATATCCTAACCTGATCAATGCAGGCTAGCGTGACGCGCCTTTACTGCTTTCTCTAGTGACGTATCGTCGAACTGCAATTGCTTGCTCGGGTCTCGAGTCTTCGCTCCGGGTTGCGCCCAGTTCGACGACTCGGTGTTCTACGATGTGGGCCCTTAATGCCCATGTCTTGGGGTTTTGTTAATTTTTTAGATGGCTGTCGCCTTTGGTAGAATTTTTTGATTTTTTGATGGCCAAAACCTTCATTTTTATTTTTTGTAATTAATATTTTTTTGTTTTTTGAAGGTTGTCCTGAGAAGAAACATCAATTAATAAAATTTAATAGAGCTACGAATTATCTAGATTTTATGTGTTTACTAGAATTTGCTGTGTTGGTCTTTTCTGCTTCCATCATTGGAAAGCATTATATTATCTTATTATCTATAGCAGGGTCGGGCTTGGGTGATTCTCTAATTCTACCAACCTAATTCTGGCTTTTTCTGCCATTTCATCTATCACCCTTACTTGTTGCAGTTCTCTAAACAGAAAGGGTTTTTAGGATGTTATTGTGGGCTGCTTGTATTTTCTTTTGATTTGAATTGCTTATGTGTTCTCATGAGAGAGATGCATATGTAATTATTGGAAGTATGATGCTGTTTATCAGTGTCATTTTCGTCTTAGGCAGTCTGCTTTTTCTACCTGTGAGTCCTCTTATTGCTGTTATGGCTGTTGCTGATTTGTGGATGATTGTATCCAAGTGTTGTGTGAAGGTTAAGCCT